CTCTCTCTCTCTCTCTCTCTCTCTCTCTCTCTCTCTCTCTCTCTCTCTCTGTGTGTGTGTGTGTGTGTGTGTGTGTGTGTGTGTGTGTCTCAGGTTTGTTTTCTATAATTATCTTCGTAATTATCGAATCGGATATGTACTGAATTTTTATTAAAAACTCGACGAAATTAAAGAATAAAGGAAATTTAATTTCTCTTACTGTGGGGGGACCAATTGCAGTGCCCCTGATTTGTTTATCGTGATTAATTTGATATTTCTCGAGTAAGACATATTCAATATTCTTGTATCAAAAGATCGACAAAATAAAAGAATACAGAAATTTAATGTGTCTTATTAAAGGGGGGGGGGGTGCTGTGTCCCCAATTCGTTTTCCGTAATTAATTCGATATTTATCGATTAAGACATATTAAATTTGTGTATAAAAAGAATCGACCCAATAAAAGAATAAAGAAATTGAATTATTATATAATTATATAGTTTTATATCTTATAAAATTAATTTATTTCTTTTTATTTATATTTTTTATTTTTTATTTTTTTAGTCTTATATCAATATTATATAGTCTTATATCTTATAAATATTAAGTTAATGATGCTCGAGAATAAACTAAAGGCACGGTAATTGACTACCCCACAGTGACCGGCTCCACTAACCTATTCATCCTCATGATTTTTCTGGGAAACGGCGTTGGCACCTTCACCTGGCGCGAGAGCGACTTTCTTGCTAATTTTCAGCATTACTCGAACATGACGTGGAAACAGCTTCGTGACTCACGCACTGGTTCACATAGATTCAAAGCAACGATTCAATGTACACATCGATAATCGGTCTTGGCTTATTTATCACCTGTAATATTTTATTATCAATTCACTTGCATTGCTCGAAATGGTTATAGCATGGAAAAACTGGATAAAAATTGGTCAAATTTGACCGACGATAACTCCGCGAATAATCATCGTAGGTCGATGACTCTTTTTTTAAATTAAAGCTTGAAATCTCTACTTTGAAATACTCTTTCTCGATTTTAAATTTGACGCACCCTCGCCATAGTAACTCTTCAAATGTAAGACTATGTTTTTCATATTGAAAGTATGAACTTTGACTGACGATAATTCCGCGAAATATCAACGTAAAATAATGATCATTTTTTTAAATTAAAGCTTGAAATCTCCACTTAGAGAGTCTATCTGAGTTTTAAATTCGATTCATCCAGTCATTATCCTACGATGATTTTTCGCGGAGGGTTAATTTAAGGAATGCAAGGGTTACTTTAAAGTGCTGTAACTTTGCGAAAAAAAATCGCAGCCCACTTCCATCTTTTTCAAATTAAAGGGGAAGGATGCGAAAAAAATTGTACGAAGTCCGTGCATTTCGTCAAACTTGGCAATTTTCAATATGACAAACACGGCCTCGCTTCTAAAGGGTTGCAGTGGCGAGGGTGCATCGAACTTGAAATATAGAAACATCGTCTTAAAGTAGAGGTTTCAAGCTTTAATTTCGAGGTAAGGTCATCATCCTACGATGATTTTTCGCGGAGTTATCGTCAGTCAAAGTCGGCCAATTTTTATCCAAAATTTATCTATGCTATAGATATTTTTAATATTGACTAAAATAAGTGCAAATAAAATATGCTGAATATATAATATTAATTATATTTATAATATTATATACAATATTATAAATAAATAAATATAATAATATTATAATATTATAAATATAATAATATAAATATATAATATAATAAATATAAAATATATAAATATTATATATATATATATATTAATATATAATATTAATTGAATATTCTTTTCTATAACATCGAATACAGAAGCCCAAGAAAAAGTTCGAAGAAGTCTCAGACATTGTTTCATTATTTCGAACCTGTTAAAACGATCAAAAGACCAAAAGAATAAACGTCCTCGCGAAAATTCAATTTCGCCTAAAAATCCGCGCTCCACACGCGGGGATGCTGACTTAACACATGATAGAACGAAGCGATCCATCAGAACGACGAATTCTTCGGCGATCGCCTACCGATTTTACGAAATCGTTCGCCGGGAACGATAATCGACGATTCGATGGGGCGCAGGCGACGTCGGTCGCCGGATCCGCGTTGCGATTCGAATTTGCGGAAACGGATGAAGGCGGATCGAACGCGGCCGTCGGAGCCACGGACTCATCGGCCGAAGAAACTGGTGGGAGAGAATATGGTTAACCGCGGCTCGTGCCGGCACGGCGTTCCTCAGTCGCGCGGAATCGATGCTCGATCGCGAACCGATATTTCGCGTGCAGAAGTGAGCGCCGTCCGGACAGCCTCGTCAAACACCGTCAGCCATGCACGCCGTGAACGAACCAGGAAGGAGCTGCGTCCTTTTGCTGGCTGCTGCGATCCTTTCTCTCGCCGCCGCCGCCGCCGCAGCCGTCGCCGTTCAGCCAATTGGTAATTTTCCTGCCGTTTTCCGCGCGTCCGATCCTCTCGCGGCGCCGCGATCTCGCCGCGCGCGATCCTCGTTCGTGCGGGCGAGCCTCTGATTACGCGAGCACGGAATATGCCCTCGAAACGGTAATTAAAACGTCGCGCATCGAGCCGAGAAGTCGCGCGCGTCGTCGACGCGGCTCCTCGTGTCCCATTTTCACAGTAATGTCTCCCTAACTGACGCTCGGATTCTGCAGAAAAATGGACAATTTTGGGAGAGAAGATACGATTATTCGAGCCTCGTAGCTCGTTCTTTTTACGGTCGTTGATACTTCGTAACTCTAAAAACGAGCCGCATGGCTCGAACAATCGTATCTACTATTCCCAAATTGTTCATTTTTGTGGACAATCGTGAGCGTGAATCAGAGAGACATCGCTGAATTCGGGTCGGGACCGTAATCGAATCGGGACAGTATGTCTCCCTAACTGACGCTCGGATTCTGCAGAAAAATGGACAATTTCGGGGAGGGTAGATACGATTGTTCGAGAGGCTCGTAGCTCGTTTTTTTCTATGGTCGTTGACACTTTGTAACTCTAAAAACGAGTCGCGAGGCTCGAACAATCGTATCTACTATTCCCAAATTGTTCATTTTTGTGGACAATTTGAGCGTCAATTGGAGAGACATTGCTGTATAGCGAAGAACGTAAGCGCATCGAGGAGCCACAGTGTCAAACGATTTATTGTAATTTCTATAACTATAATATAGTAATTTCTAAACGATTTGTAGTAGCTCGCGCTCAGATTACGCACAAAAATGGACAATTTAGGAAGAGAAGGTGCGATTATTTGAGCCTCGAAGCTCGCTTTTTGACGGTCGATGACACTCCGTTACTCTAAAAAAGAACCGCATGGCTCGAACAATCGTATCTACTATTCTCAAATTGTCCATATTTGTGGACAATCGTGAGCGCGAATTAGAGAGACATCGCTGTATTCGGATCGGGATCGTAATGTCTTCCTAACTGAAGCTCGGATTCTGCAGAAAAATGGACAATTTCGGGAAGAGTAGATACGATTGTTCGAGCCTCGTAACTCGTTTTTTTAAGGTCGTTGACACTCCGTTACTCTAAAAACGAGCCGCATGACTCGAACAATCGTATCTCCTATTCCCAAATTGTCCATCTCTGTGGACGATCGTGAGCGCGAATTAGAGAGACATCGCTATATTCGGATCGGGACCGTAATGTCTCCCTAACTGACGCTCGGATTCTGCAGAAAAATGGACAATTTGGGAAGAGTAGTTACGATTATTCGAGCCTCGTAGCTCGTTTTTCTACGGTCGTTGACACTTCGCAACTCTAAAAACGAGCCACATGGCTCGAATAATCGTATCTCCTATTCCCAAATTGTCCATCTCTGTGGACGATCGTGAGCGCGAATTAGAGAAACATCGCTGTATTCGGATCGGGACCGTAATCGAATCGGGTCGGAATAAAGCGCGGCGCGGGGTGTGTAGGTGTCCCGTCGATTCGCGACACGCGTGCCGACGATCGATTTCACGTCAACGGTGAAACGTCGGCGACGTTGACGACGTCTCTCTCTCTCTCTCTCTCTCTGTGAAGACGAGGAACCGTTCGGTAGAACGTTCCTTTCTCGAATTTTGTGTTTAGGCAACGCAACGGCGAAAGTTTTGTACACAAATGTGTCGATCGGAAGACGCTTCGATTCTTGCGATACAGCGGCGACCTTCGCCGCGGAATAAAGAAAAATATTGTTGCCGTGTCGTTTGCTTCGTGGTTCAGTTTCTACAGAGAAGCACGTTTCGCGATCTACGCCGGATGTTTACGAGCGGCGCGTCGCGCGCAACGGTTTCGAGTGACTCGAAACACTTGGCGGAGGGTTTAGAGTTGCGGGGATGATCGCCGCGGTCGCTGGTTGACTTTGATTTGTTCCGGCGTGACTGATACAAGTGGCGAATTGTTAACGCGAAAAATTTTGTCGCGATGTCGTTTAGTTCTAATGGTGCAGAAACTAGAAAGTGAAAATTTAACGCTGGAAATATCATTATATTTTGTATTGCACAAATCGTAGTAACATTCAGTATATTGATTAATTAATTTCTTATCGGAATTACTGTGTTAATATTATGTTAATATTATATCATGTAATTGATGTAATGTACCAAGCAATTATAATATTTTTATTAGTGTTAATTTTTTTAATATTATATAATTATTTAATTAATTGTATAAAGTAATTATTTATAATCAATTATTATATAAATTAGTAGTAATATTACCATTAATATTATATTGATTAATTAATCTATTATATACATTACTAGTAATATTACTATTAATATTATGGTAATTAATTAATCAATTATATAAATTAATAGTAATATTACTATTAATATTATAGTAATTAATTAATCTATTATATAAATTAATAGCAATATTACCGTTGATATTATAGTGATTAATTAATCTATTATATAAATTAACAGTAATATTATATTAATATTATATCAATATCAATCAGTTAAGGAATATAATATTCAATATATTACAATAAAAATGAATTTCAGAAACCTGGTTAAAAATTAGTGCCATATAACTCACGCAGCACTGACTGTGTCAACCAGTTAAGCTGTTGCGAGTTCCTTGAAAAGTATGCGCCTAAAACGTGTCGCAAAAAACGTAAACGATCTAGCGACGACTAACGAAGTATAACGCGAACAAAGGTTCGTAACACTATTCTTAACTGTCCGTTTTATTTCGTCTTGTCCCCAAAAATACTCAGAATATCTCTGAAATTTTAGTTATCTCTGGTATTTTTAATTTTACTTTTCGTTAGAATTGCAATTTAAATAACAAATTGTAAGGAAACCGTCGAGGTTGACTTGAAAACAGCTAACTGGTTATGTCAACAATTCTTTATGTCATCAATTTTTATATCGTTATACAGGGTGTTCCAGCGTCGGTGGTACAGACGAGAAAGGGGTTGTTTTTTTTTTCTTTACGAAAGAACAAATCGAGAATGAGGAATAGAATTTTTTCGTTTGAGGCTTCGCCATCGAGAAAATCGGCTTTGAATTTTTCCAGCGAGTACGCGTGCACGTAACCGTGGTTTAAAATAGTTGAATGGCTCTCGATAGAAGTTATATATAGCACTTACAAATAGTACTAACAACATTAGTATCAACACGATGAATCGAGTCACTAATTTCTGCCTATGGATTTAGAATGCATTTAAATAAGACCTGCAAAATTTAGCTACTAATGTACCGTATTAATGCAATAATTATTCTGAACTGAACAAATTTTATCGTTTAATTTTTATTCGTTTCTTTTTACGTAGAATTACACCTTCTTGATGATTCGATAGAAACAAAAATAATTTCTCAGACCGATATTCGCGTTTCAGATGTGAACATTCCTTGCAACACGAAAGACGATTGCATCGGTTTCTCGCCCGCGTTAAAAAATGCTACATGCACCAATGGATTCTGCCTGTGCACCGTCGCCGGCGTAACAAGGAACTGCTCCAATATGGATATACAACGGCCGACGAACAGAAACGCGGGTAAGCATGCCCGATCTTCGCGGCTGATGTTTCCGGCCGGCGATAGAACAGCAATTAAGAACCGTGCGATTTGTTTCCAGGCCTGCCATTGCACCCTTGCAAGGGCAACCAGGATTGCATGTTCCAGAATTCGATTTGCAACACGCAGACCAGCCGGTGCGAGTGCCAAAAGGACTACGTTTGGTCGGACAATAGAAAGTTCTGCCTGAGAAGTGAGCATTACGTTCGTTTTTGTCATTTTGTTCATTTTATTAATTTCGTTCGTTTTCTTCATTTCGTTTATTTCGTCCATTTCGTGCATTTCGGTAATTTTGTTCGTTTTATTAATTTCGTTCATTTCGTGCATTCTAGTCATTTCGTTCATTTTATTAATTTCGTCCTCCTGGTTCCATTTCGTCCATTTCATTTATTTCGTTCATTTAATTCATTTCGTTCATTTCGTGCATTTTAGACATTTCGTTCATTTCGTCCACTTCATTTATTTTGTTCATTTCGTCCATTTCATTTATTTCGTTCATTTCGTTCATTTCGTCCATTTCATCCATTTCATTTATTTCGTTCATTTCGTCCATTTCATCCGTTTCATTTATTTCGTTCATTTCGATCATTTTAGACATTTCGTTCATTTAGTCCATTTCATTTATTTTGTTTATTTAATTCATTTCGTTCATTTTATTAATTTCGTTCATTTCATTAATTTCGTTCATTTCGTTCATTTCGTTCATTTTAGTAATTTCGTACATTTCAGTCATTTCGTTCATTTTATTAATTTCGTTCATTTCGTTCATTTTAATAATTTCGTACATTTTAGTCATTTCGTTCATTTCATTTATTTCTTTCATTTCGTTCGCTTCAATCATTCTATCGATACAATTATATTGATTTCCCGAAGAAAGTACAGTGCGCGATTCATGAAATCTGATGGCGCATGCGAGAATAACAATCGAATAAAATCCCAATAAATTGAACAATTACTGTAAATGATACATCGCCTCTGTTTTTCTATCTAACCGATTACATCGCTCGCAAGCAAACGATCGTTAATCGCGGTACTCGTTAACGTCGCCAACGGTTTCTAAACGATAATTTTTCTCTCTCTCTCTCGTTCTCTGTTCAGAGGCCGAGGCGATAGACTTCGCCTGCGAAGAGGACAAGCAGTGCACCGCATTCTTGGCGAACACAACGTGCCGCGACGGAAAATGCGGCTGCATCGACGGCTACCATTACAAGGGGAACCTGTGCCACAAGACAATCGGTGAGATAACATCGCACTGCGGCTTAGTCAAATTGGCGAACGCGAAAAATTCACCGACCCGGTCGATCGTTGCAGCGCTCAATAATACGTGCACGCGACTCGAGGAATGCGGCATGGTCGCCGGCGCGATCTGCACCGATAGGAGACTCTGCGAGTGCATGGCGGGAACGGTGATCAATGCCGCCGGAAACATGTGCCTGACCGTGGCCAAAGAGTTTTTGTACAGCTGCGTCGAGGACCAACAGTGCTCCGTCACGTTCGAGAACACCGTCTGCGTCGACGAGGCCTGTCGGTGCCTGGATCAGTATCATTTCGATCAGGGGATGAACCGATGCTTCGTCGACAGAGGTAAAGGAGTTCCGACTGAATCGCTGTGTTTTTATTTATTTATTCACTTAGTTACTTATTTATTTATTTATTTATTCATTCTACGGGAATGGCTCATCAACATACAGCGGTGTAATTTCTACGTTTTTAATGAAGTTTAAACGAAAACTTGACAAAATATTATATTTGTATATTTCATATGTTAGAAACAAGGGGAAATAGAAATATATTAATATAGCTTGCGGTTGGCTTTTGTTTAAATATCGGTAAAAAAATGTAAAAGTTATGTTTATAATTACGTGTGTAATCATGTTTATAATTATTCACAGCACTGTAGGTGGGTGTTCTTTTTTAGCCGAGACAGTCTGTTTACTTAAAAAGATGATTTTCAAAATATCATATTTGTATATTTCTATGTTAGAAGTAATAGAAAATAGAAATATAATAATAGAAAAATATAATAGGAATAGAAATATAATATTTTGTTGAGTTTTGCGGATATCAGTGACAATGTAAAAGTTACTTTGAGTCTATAATTATACACACCACTGTTTGAAAAATTCATCTATTAATATATATATATATAAGGAATTAACCCCTTAATATACATATAAGAAAATAACCTATTAATATATAAGAAATTAACCCCTTAATATATAAGAAATTAACCCCTTAATATAGAGATAAGAAATTGACCTATTAATATATAAGCAACTAACCCCTTAATATATAAGCAATCACCCCTTAATATATAAGCAACTACCCCTTAATATAAGAGGAATTAACCCATTGCAATCGGAGTTGGGAGTTGCTAAAACAACCTTTCCCGACATATATTAATCCCATTTTACATAACTTCCTGTACTTTATACATATAAAATTGAACTTCGCGACTCTTGCAACAGTTTTCCAAATATAAACAAATTCAGCACTATTAAAATTATCTTGCAACGTGACACGCCAAATCTCCAGCGGTGTCTTAGACTCCAGTGCAAAGGGTTAACCGCCTGAAAAATCGCGCGAAGTCCAAGCGTCTCGTATGCTCGAGATAAAATTGAGAAGTCAAGCCGGTGCAACCTCAATTATATCTCGAAGCATTTTTTCGTAACGCGGATTCGACGCGAGGGGTTGCTACCCGCGGACCGTTCAATTAAAATTACAACGCGCGCTCTGATGTTCGCACAGGCCTGGACGAGAACTGCGCCACCACGCAGGAGTGTTATCACGCGAGCAAAGCGAACGGGACGCAGTCGGTGGGTCTGCTGTGCCTGAAGAACGTGTGCGTCTGCGCGGAAGATTATTATCGGGATGGTGATGCGTGCATCGCTAACGAAGGCAAGCAAAGAGCCACCACCGCCCCGACGGCACCCTTTAGATCTCGAGCAGCGATATCCATTCTCCATGATATTCTTTCTTTTCAGGTGCGCGCTGGCCGGGACCTTCGGCTTTGGTGCTCGCGGCGCTGGTTCTGCCGGGGCTCCTGCGAGGAATCTAGGTCTCGCGACACCGACTTATCGGCGCCGTGTTATCGGCGACTTTGCCGAGCCGTTTCCGTCGCGTGGGATCGTCGAGCGCGGTCCACGGGCCCTCCCGCGGCCCCCCACTCCGCGCGGTCCCCGGGCCATCCGCCGCCTCCCCACTCCGCGCGGCCCTCGCCGAGGGCCTCTCGGCACGCGATTTCGACCCGTGACGCGACGCGGGATTCAGCGCGGAAAGAAGAACGGGCGTCGGATGTCGCGGCGCTGTGCGTCGACCGCGACCAGAGAACGCGCCGGGCGCATCGAACCGTCTCGGCGACTTCCTCCGAAGGGAAGACCGAGCGTATCGTGTGCTCGTTTCCCTGCTGGGAAAAATTTGAAGCAGCAAATTAGTACACGGGTGTTGGGACGGACGTTCGCGGCGATTCGATTCGACCGAGATCTTGAAAATTTCACGAGATTCGAGGGTCGCGGTGACGCTCCCCACCGGACTGCGGTCATTTTTGACCCAGTGCAGCTTTGCTGTCTCGATTTGTGGGAATCTGTTCACTCGTCTACCATATTTAAATTCGAAATACGAAATATGTACAGAACGAAATTTAAATTCGAAATTTAGAATATGTTTACTGATCTACAATATTTAATTTCGAAGTCCAACATGATGTCCTCTGATTTACAGTATTTAATTTCGAAGTCCAAAATTATGTTTACTGGTTTACAGCACTTAAATTCGAAATCCAAAATATTCTTAATGATCTACAATATTTCAATTCGAGATCTAAAATATGTTCTCCGATCTACAACATTCAATACGATTTATTGCAATGTATGCATATGAAACTGAGCCTGTTAGCGAGTTCAATGTTTGCTGCTTTAACAATTGCTTAAATATAAACAAATCTGCGGCCGTTAAAATTATTTTAAAAAATAGTATATCAATTTCTAGTGGCATCTCAGAGCCGCCACTTAAGTGCAAATGGTTGAATTCCAAGTAAATAGAACCCAAACAGCACGTTTATTCGATCAACAATCGCCTTGGTAGATCAAAAATAATATTTTGACATTTTGAATATCGTCTGATATTTGAATACACTGACATTCTGAAGCACCCTTGGTCTTCCTGCTATCTCAAATCGCAACTGAAAAAATTCTTCCATAAACGCGTCAAATCCGCGGACTACTTATTAACGATTGTATCAGCAAACATGAGCGTACCGATGTAAGCACACGTGGGTGCCTTTTACACGATCGTTCTGCCCACACTCGTGGCACACGTGCGCTTTATTAAAGACAAGTGCCGGGTCGTTGAATACGCCGAGTGTTTGCTGTTCTAATGTATCTCTGCGCCTCCGCTCTGCAAAAGTTAGTTAAAACAGCAATTCTTTTCAACTCGTCGACGCGTGCAAGGGAACGAGAGTTAATTTGCGGAGCGTGTTCCGCGAGGCTGGCGCGCCTTCGCCGCGCGATTCCCATCGCGGATGATCGCGTCTTCTGTCCCATTCGCGCCCGAAAGTCAGCTCGTCATCCGCAGTTCGTTCGCAGAAAAGTCAAATTTCATTTCGATTCAAAGAGCGGATATTCCAGCGCGTTAAAGCGCGTTTCCATTTCATTTTCCTCGGGATTTTATTTTTCTGAGAGCCTGTAACACCTTTTGCAGTCATGTGTACAAGCTTTGTTTATTTATGTTGCATTCCGTCTGTTTTTAAATGTTATTACGTTGAAACAAATTTTCGGTTCGAGTTAACATTGATGGCGAAAGATTCTTCATTGGTATTAGTTTAGTTATAACGGATTCGTGAACAAAAATAAAACGTCGACAGTTGAGAAAATTATAATTATATATTATAATTATATATATATATCCTTCGAGAAAACGTACCCCGTTGAAAGAAGCGAAGAGCATAGCGCCATAGTTCCATAATTATGTTAACACTTGGAAAGAGATGATTCCTGAGATCATTTGAAGCAACTTTCTCCTCAGCGAAAATGCAATCCGAGGCTTCGTTTACGAGTTATGACCAATGAGAGGCGAGCACGCTTGGCGCTAGACGGCCGAGCCAGTCAGCGGAACGGGGGCGTCGACCGCTCGCTGGCTCGGCCGCTCATTGGTCAGCGTTTTTCGCTAATAACTCGTAAACGAAGCCGCGGATTGCATTTTCGCTAAGGAGAAAGTTGCTTCAAATGATCTCAGGAACCTCTCATTTCTCGGAAATGCCATAATTTTGGAAGAACCTGTATAGCACGGTAAACGGTGCAGCGTTCCGATACCTGTGGAAAACTGTGCGAGAAGCGAAGGTCAATGAAGCGGGAAACGTTGACAGTTTCCAACGTAGCGCAAAGTGCCAAAGATGTTCCGCTGTGTGGACGCCACTTGCTATATTATTATACTTCGATAATAATTATTGCCGCGACGGAAGTTACAAACAGTATTCCACGATCTTAGCGAATAGTTCCGGTCGAAGAGTTCTCCTTTCGCGGGGAACGCGCGAACGCGATCTTTAGTTTAAGGACGTTCCAGAAACGGTTTTAGTGTAGACGCGCGGCTTAAGAGTTCTTTTTGTACGCGTTTCATGTACTTGCTTTCAAACGCTGGACAGCGATCGAAGGTGGTCGTGGCCCTTCGATCGCCGATCTCCGCGCGATCCTTTATTTTTTTACAAAACCGAGCATCGATAAGTGTCGGATCGATAGAGCGTAGAATTGATGGCGAATTCTCTGAGCTCTCCTCCTCCGGGAGGACTCCTCCTTTCCATTTCCAATTTTAAAGCGTCTTATAATTTTTTATTCGTTTAAGAGGTTTGGCCAGTTTGACGCGACCGGAAATCAATTATGTTTTGAAGACATTTTTATATTTTGAAGTTATTTTTTCGATTCAATTTCAAGTTCAATTTCAGTTTTCGAAAATCATTGTTTACGTGTTTAACGCTTCTTATTTGTAAAAATAATTTGTTATAGAAGCTGGAACCTTTTGTAACTTATTTCAAAGGCTACAAATTAGTATTGCAAAGAAAGAAAGAGCATTCGATTTCTTCAAAATTTCAAAGTGGTCAGACCCCTTAATTTGTTTGTTTTTGAATAAGACAGTTTAATATGTTTTTTAATATCGAATTAAGATAACAATTTAACATGTAACTATTCGATAAATATAAGGTTAATAATGTCTGAAACAAATACGAAAGGACACAGCAATTAGTAACACCACAGTAACTCACTCCATTATCCTAGCACGAACATTTTTTAAAAATATTTTAACCTGGAAGATTTATGTTAAACTTGAAATATTCTAAATTGTGACTTATCCAGTAGCATGTATAATACTTTGATACACAGATTTCACAAATCTGTACGCAAAATTTATCTACCACCTTAGGATTTTATAAAAAAAATCGTTTCAAGAGAAAAAGATGAACAGTATTTATAATTGAACAACATTTATATGCTATAAATTGTATAAATTATTTTAATGCTATAAATTATGCTATAAATTATATATTTATATAAATATATATTATTTATAGCATAATTCACAGCATTGAAATAGTTTATAGCAAACTTAGAACTGAAGAATATAATAATAAAATTAACACGAATATATCATATTATATTAATCATATTATTATATTTTATTATTTTGCTACAAACTACAAACACGTAAGCACGTCCCACCGGTGTTACACGTGGCGTGGAACGCGTCAAAAAGCAAACTTAGAACTGAAGAATATAATAATACAATTAATATGTATATATTATAATATATTAATCCTATTATTATATTTTATTATTTTCCTACAAATTACAAGCACGTGAGCACATCCCATTGCTAGTACACGTGGCGCGGAACTCGTCAAGAACCAAACTTAGAACTGAAGAATACAATAACACACAATTAACGCGTATCCATTATATTATATCAATCCTATTATTCCATTTCATAATTTCGCTACAAACTACAAACACGTAAGCACGTCGCACCGGTGTTACACGTGGCGCTGAACGCGTTAAAAACTGTCAACACCATGTCCTCCCCATTTTCCCCTGGATTCCGCAACATTTTTCAGCATCGAAATCACCGCTTTATCTCGCCTCGATCCAAAGTTCCTCGATTTCAACACCTCGTCGCGACTTCGCCCCGCCGGGCGGCACGCGCGCGCGCTCCGTTCGTCGATTAATCACAGATCCATAGCTGTTCGGTGACTCGTCGCGGTTCGGCCTCGATTTCCAAGCGGATCGCCGCGGCTAAGACAATAAATGAGTCGTTCACGTGTACCGTGGCGGCGGACTTATCATCCGCGAGATTAGATAAGCTTCTCGAGGCGCGAGGTGTTCCAGTCGCAGGCTGGATCGTCGGAGAGGATCGAGCGGATTTCGCGCGGCGCGTCTCGACGGAAGCGAGCGGCGTAGGAATTGTCGAAGGAAGAGAGGCGGACTGGTCGTCGTCGTCCTCGTCGTCGTCGTCGGTGTGCAAGGGAAGAAGGCCGGCAAGGGCTGGCATCGAGCGGAGATGGCCGGCTTCGTGGATCGTCTCGCCACTGCTGCGCCGTCGATCGGCCCCTGGCTTTGCCTCTGCCTCTGCCTCGTCGCGCGCACTGCAGTCGTCGCCGCGCACGGACAGCACGAACATCTGCTCCGTAGACGTGAGTGTGGATCGTGAGATCTTTTTATTTCGGTGTTCCCTCGACACGCGGTTTCGAGAAGTTTCTGTGCCCGCGGACCGATCCGAAGATCGACCGCCGAAGATCTTCCATCGGAGATTCGTCGCACGCGCCTCGTCGCGTCCGTTCCTGCCGCGACGGTTTCGATCCGTCGAAGGTCAAAAAAGTCTGCTTCCGAGCTGGAAGCAGATCGTTCCGATCATTTAGGATCGTCCGGAAGGGTCGAGGAAGCGATCGCAGATCCCAGGTTTGACTCCGCTAACCCTTTCGGTGTCCGAGATTCGAAAGTTTGCCGCAGTTGCGGCGAACGCGAAGAAAACGCGTTTTTCTGTTATAATTGAAGGTTTTATTAGGGTTTTATGAAGTTTGTTGGCGGCGAGAGTGAATAGCGTTACTAGACGGCGGATTTTAGTATATTGTTGTGTTTAATTTGTTATTGTAAGCTGCGTGCATTTCTGATGCATTTGAACGTGGTAAAACTGATGCAACGGCATTTTTAACGCTAGGTTTACGATAATCGTCAGAATGACGGATCATTGATCGTTTAGTCGACGATTACTCAAATTTTAAAGATGCGTTTGCTAGTTTTTTATTCAATGTTTGCGTGTTACTCGTGGCAAATATGACAATAAATGTCTCAATAAATGTCTTAATAAATAAGTGTCTCTCTAATATAAAATAGTTATTATTATTATTATTATTATTATTATTATTATTATTATTATTATTATTATTATTATTATTATTATTATTATTATTTATGCTCCGTAAATCTAGCGTTAAATTCGTTGATTTGATGTTCTGCGCACGTTCTATCAATTTCTCCCATAAACGCGTAAAAACCGCCGTCTAATAATTACAATGTAACTATCAGGATTCCAGTTTTTTAAGAATACATAAATTCGAACAGCTCTTGCATTTTCACGTCGTCAAGGCTGCCTCTCCTCAGTGCGTTTCCGATTCTCGTTTCACGGAAAGATGACGGCAGCAGAATATGAACCACTGTGTGAATAAGTATACATACGTGAGTCACGGTGATTACGACGCGACATTCAAATTAGCCGTCTTTTTTTTCTTTTTTCTTTTAACGTTGCATCGAGCATCGAAACGGTCCAAACACTGTATCCGTGTCGGACCATGCAGGTGAATTGAAATTTGGAGCGACACGAATGACCCAGTACGCGGCGCAGGGTTAAAGGTGAACGGTTTTCCCGAGAGCCTCGGGAATCCGTTGTTTCGGTGCTCGTTAAAGCCGAGCACGACTCGACGGGAAAAGATAATCGAATCTACGCGATCGCGTGTTCCGGTGAAGCACGGTGTCGACGTTCTCCGAACACCTGATCGATCGCTCGCAATCGTGCTCCGAAGCTTCCTGGATTTCAGATGCCCCTTGCATTTTTCCGTACAAACTTCACCATAGAAATAGCAATAGTTATAATAATAGGCCAATTATAATAGTAACAATAGAATAATAATCGTAGAAATAATAGTAATAGAATAATAATAATTGAAATAATAATAGAAATAATAGCAGTAGAATAATAATAATTGAAATAATAGTAAAAATAATAGCAATAGAATAATAATAATTGAAATAATAATAGAAATAATAGCAGTAGAATAATAATAATTGAAATAATAGTAAAAATAATAGCAATAGAATAATAATAATTGAAATGATAATAGAAATAATAGGAATAGAATTATAATAATTGAAATAATAGTAAAAATAATAGCAATAGAATAATAATAATTGAAATAATAATAGAAATAATAGCAATAGAAT